TGTGGCATCAATGCTTTGTGTCAGAGGATGAATTTTGGCTTTTTGTTTTTGTAATCAAGATATAATACTACAATGACCAGCTTTCACTGTTATTTATTATTTTATCTGCTCCTCTGTGATCTAGTTTTTAGTTGCCGTTGATGAGTTGTTAGGAGTAGAATTACCGGAGTACTGGGTCAAGTAATCAGGCTGGCAAGATGGTATCAGCAAGAACTACTTAGAGCATTGAGTAGATCACTGTCCCCGCCAGTTTTTGGCATACCCCCAGGCATCTGCCGTTAGGGGAAATGGAGACAGGGTCAGAAGCAACCTGAGCGCTACTAGAGGAGATGCGCCAGGGGCATCTTGCTATCCTATGTTTATAGAAGAGAAGAAGATTTTTCGCCAGAGAAGAAAAAATAATGTGACCACAGAGAGTCTTCATCAAATTTTTATTTAGAGGGAGGTATTAGGTAGTTTGAATTGATCAACCATTTCCTCATAAGGCCTTTGATGAATACCCTGAATATTTAGTATGATGGTGTTTGAGTTTTGGCGATTTACATATTATTGTTCACTTCATTTCATCTGATGATGCAGATATCATCGTGAGGAGTTCTTTTACATATGTCCTATCTTTACAGGTGCAGACATATAAAACGCATTTTAAAAGGTATCTTGTTGCTTTAAGTGTTTTGTCTTTACACAGTGGAGCGAGTGTGGCAAGGCAGAAGTCTCGCATCAATGAGTGCATGTTTGTCCTAGTGAACATATCAGCACAGAATTGTTTTACTAAGAGTCAAATTAATCTGGAATGAAAATAAATTTAAAGTGCTGAATCAGATGCCAGTGATGAGAAGGTACTCAGTCCACATTTAGACCTAGTAGCTACTCAAACAGCTCTGTTTATGAAATAAAGATTGGATACGCCAGATAAGTGGAACGCGGACATGCATGTCATGTCTTGTGGATGATGGTAGTAGGGAGGGGAAGGTTCGTGACAGGGACATCTGTAAGGAGATAAAAAAAAAAATGATGACCACATTTTAACATGATATCCATAGGTGGCAATAGTACCTTTGTTTTTCCATTTATCGTGTGTATGTGTACACAACATACATATATACACACTGATAAAATTGTCTTTATATCTCTGTTCTTCACTCCTTGTTAAACTTGACCGCCCATATTTTTGAAGAGTGATGAAAAATCATTACATAGTGACTATTACAAATATGGAAAAAAACCAAACCGAAGTATTTATTTCTGTATTTGTTAAAACACCTTGCTATCCTTTCAGGTAGTGGCTTCTTCAGCAGATGGGAGGGTCAGAGCGGTGTTTCCGTTCTGCTGTCAGATTTACTACACTACACGTAGAACGCACTTGAAATTTTATTAAAATTACATCCTGAAAATTACAGATCTTAAAGGTGCAGTGCTAGGATTTAATATAAAATTCCAGGTGAGGAAACTAAGTCCAAAAAGAAAATCAATTTGTTACTACACATAATTTATTTGGTTTTGGGCGTAGATCCCATCATCTCCGAGTAGGTGCAGCCTTCTCGCACCGGGTTTTGCCGCCGCTGGAGGTCGGGCTCGGCTTAGCCTGAGCTCTCCCAAACGCCGCATCCTCCCAGGTTGAAAATCTATAGAAAAAAATTAGCCGGGCATGGTGGCGCATGCCTGTAGTCCCAGCTACTTGGGAGGCTGAGGCAGGAGGATCGCTTGAGGCCAGGAGTTGGAGGTTGCTGTGAGCTAGGCTGATGCCACGGCATTCAAGCCCGGGCAACAAAGTGAGACTCTGTTTCAAAAGAAAAGAAAAGAAAAGAAAAAAAAAAAGGTACAAGCCTTTTAAGATTTTGATAGAAAGCATAATGTGTTCACCACCTCCCCCGAGTCAGGCTGGACTCAAACCCTAAACTCTAATCTCACATGTGGACAGCAACTAAAATCTCTGTTCATTTTCCCTCCGAGGTTTTAGCTAGCTCCCTCTCACCCTGCACTAGGGTTTTTTTTTTTTTTTTTTTGTATTTAATCTGTACATTGATAGTTCAGGGACCAACCTGGGGAAACTTATGCTCGGATTTTGAGGCTCTGCTTTGGCTCACTTCTTTCGGAAATTTCTGGAAACCGTGGAAGTATCAAATTCCATGCTCTGACTGCTCAGACTAGGAAAAGTGCAGTTTCCTGCTGAAGTTTTACTGTCCCAAGTCCCTCTAGCTGGGTGTAGCCTTGGGGTAAAAGCTGTGTGGATTCCACACAGGTTGGTTGGCTCCTTGCTTTTCAGGGTTGATTCTTTTTTAGTTTTTATTTATTTATTTATTTTTCCTATCTATTTTTAGTTGGCCTATTTTTTTTAGTAGAGACGGGGTCTGGCTCTTGCTCAGGCTGGTCTTGAACTCCTGACCTTGAGCGATCCTCCCGCCTCGGCCTCCCAGAGTGCTAGGATGACAGGCGTGAATCACCGCGCCCGGCCAGATTTTATTTGTTTTAAAGAAGAATTTTTCAAAAAAAAATGTTGCCCAGAGTTTCTAATTTTTATTTAGAGGAGGATTAGTCTGATACGAATTCCTCTGCCTTGTCTTAACATGATTTGGTTTTTGAGTTTTGGCATAATTATGTCTATTTTTCTGTGGAAAGCATTTGTAGAGTTCTTAGTCTAACTTTCCAAGAATAAAAACGCATTTTTAAAATTATTCTTTAAGTGTTTTGTCTCCTGACAATTGAGGGATTTTTCTATGCTTCCTCCTTGAATTCACATTTGAAAGAGTCAATTCATCTGGAATAAAAATTTAACTGATTTGAGATCCAGTGAGATCTCACCACATTTACGTCCAGTGCTACTCAAACAGCCTATTTATGAAATAAAGATGGGTCAGATGGGAACATTTTACTTATTGATTGGCCAGTCACCAAGTCCTCTTTAGAGAGAAACATATTATGCATCTATATCTGGTATCAAGGCAAAAGCCCAAAGCGTTTAGTTAAAGTTTGTTTTATAATATTTTTATTTTATCTGAATAAATTGTTTCCAATTTGCTTGACCTTTCATTTAATTACTTTCCCCAGAGAACACTGCTATTCTCTGCTTTCTCCTTTATTCCTTCCTAAATTCTCCCTGTCTTTGAGTGTCTATCCGGTTCATGTCTTCTCAGTTTTCCCACCACTGAATCTACATCGCTTTCTTTGTGTAGGGCTTTCTCCCACGATTTATCAATTAACGTACATTTCAAGCCATACGGAGGATGAGCTGGTATGTTTAGAAGGCAACTGAGGCCGGGCGCGGTGGCTCACGCCTATAATCCTAGCACTCTGGGAGGCCGAGGTGGGAGGATCGCTCAAGGTCAGGAGTTCGAAACCAGCCTGAGCAAGAATGAGACCCCCATCTCTACTAAAACTAGAAAGAAATTAATTGGCCAACTAAAAATATACAGGAAAAAATGAGCCGGGCATGGTGGCACATACCTGTAGTCCCAGCTACTCAGGAGGCTGAGGCAGGAGGATCGCTTGAGGCCAGGAGTTTGAGGTTGCTGTGAGCTGGGCTGAGGCCACAGCACTCTAGCTCGGGCAACAGAGTGAGACTCTTGTCTCAAAAAAAAGAAGGCAACTGAGATAGGGATGGGAACAGAAAAGATGTACCTTCCTAGCATATTTTAAAGCTGGTATCATTACACCCAGACAACAGGGAGCTTCTTTTTTTCAGGTATACTCCTCAAACGAACTGTTGTCCTGTCTCATTTTATAATTCAGTCACCTCATATGAGTACAGTCTTCTTTCCCCAACAAGATCGGAAGATTCTCGAGGGCAAATATGCCTACCTCTTCACCCATACCATAAAAATAAGAGTTTATTTGAATGCGTTGCTTTGAATGTTAACCGTTTGGCTGAATCTCTAAGTTTGTTTTTTGGCTTGTTATTTTCCTAAAAGTGTTTTGTCTAAACTTGATACCCTACTAGGGAGCCAGTAAAGATACCTTGTATTTAATGACAATAGGTAATACTTATTGAGTACTTACTACTATGTTCCAAGTATTGCTCCAAATACTAGACATTTAAAAAAAAAAAGCAAAACCTCGTTGAATCCTTACAACAACTCCGTGAGATAGATATACTATAATAATCTCCATTTTATGATGAAGACATTGAAGGCAGAGGTTAGATGACTTAAACAGGTTGATTTGCCTGAATTTATGAAGCCAAATTATTGGCAGAAACTTACTCAGGCAGTTCGATTCCAGTCCCTGGTTGTAACCACTGTGCTATATGGCCTTGTCTCCACTTAAGAGCACAGAGTGTATTCCCTTTAGTTCTGTTATTTATTTTCCACGCTGATCTGGCACTATTATTTTACATATAGTTTTATAAATAGTTTAGAATAAACAATAACGGACTTGAGGTTGAGCTGTAGGCCTAGGTATGTCATTAATCTATATGATACAGATGAACTTAACTCTATCAAGCCTCAGTTCCCAAATATGTAAAATGAAGGGTTGGCTGAGTCTTATTAAAGATACTCCAGTATTTTATTTTATTTTATTTTATTTTATTTTATTTTATTTTATTTTACTTTATTTTATTTTATTTATTTTTTTGAGGTAGAGTCTCACTTTGTTGCCCGGGCTAGAGTGAGTGCCGTGGCATCAGCCTAGCTCACAGCAACCTCCAACTCCTGGGCTCAGGCAATCCTCCTGCCTCAGCCTCCCAAGTAGCTGGGACTACAGGCATGCGCCACCATCACGCCCAGATAATTTTTTCTATACAATTTTAGCTTTGACAATTAAATTTCTTTCTTTTTTAGTAAAAGAGATGGGGTCGTTGCTGCTGGCTAGGCTGACTTCGAACTTCTGACCTTGAAGAGCGATCCTCTCCTCCCCTCCCCGGCTCCCCAGAGTGCTAGGATGACAGTCTGCGGCCACCGGCATTTGCTCGGTCGGTACTCCAGTATTTTATATGTTTTAAGTTTGTTTTTTCAAAAAAATGTTGTCGAGGAAGTGTTTAATAGCGCCCTAGCTCCTGGAGCCGTTATTCATCTCGAGCCTGTTCTTTTCGCTGGCGCTCTGGTCTTGCTTGCCGGCTCCCTTTTTCTGGGGGCCTTTCCCGAAGAAGATGTAAGTTTACAAGGCCCGTATTCCAAGCAGGGGCCCCAGGAACACGAACACGAAGCAGCCCATCAGGTAAGATGTCGATCGCTTTGACGTAGGGGGAATCCCTTTGGGCAGCGTCTGCCCTGGAGGTGATGCTGATGGTTGTCATTGTCAGCACCGTGGTGATTCCTGCAACACAGAAACACAGAGCTTGGCTGAAGGCACCTCCAGCGAAGCTCGCCCTTTCAAAGGACAGATGCATTTTCCCGTCATTTGGTGTCCCAGGATGAGGCCGTAGCCCACCGTGGACACGAGAGCACCACTGCGTGAGAAAGCAGGCAGCTCGCCCTGCATTCGTCCAATTAATGAATCTATGAAATCAGAGGTGGCAGCTAATGAGAGTTTGAAAACATTTTTTTTTAACATTTAACATTTTAAACTTTAAACAATTTTTTTTTTTAAGTATGCAAAAAAGAAAAAAGAAAACAGGCCTGGGCCGGCGGTGGCCTCACCGGGCCTGTAATCCTAAGCACCCGGGGAGGGCCGAGGTGGGAAGGATGCCCTCTCCCACGGTCAGAGTTTTTTTTTGTTTCTGTTTGTTTTTAATACTAATTTGTATTCTTTCATTTTGTTTTCTTTTTTTTTTATTTGGCCATCTCGCTTTTGAAAGAATAAGGGTCAGGGAGGTTTGAGACCATGCCTGAGCAAGAGGCGAGACCGAGCGCCCGTCTCGACTAAAATAGAAAGAAATTATTGGCCACTTAAAACTGGAATCGAAAAAAATGAGCCCCGGGGCCAGGTGGCCGCATGCCTGTAGTCCCAGCACTCCGGGAGGCTGACGGCAGGGATCGCTTGAGGCGCAGGAGTGCTGAAGGTGCTGTGAGCTAGGCTGCGGGCCCACCCGGCACCTCCATCTAAGCCTGGGGCAAGCGAGAGTGAAGCTCCTGTCTCCAAAAAAAAAAAAAAGAAAAAGAAAGCAAATGGAAAGGCAGATTAAAATCCCATTGAAAGGCTACTGTCAAATGTCTCTCATTTTGTTATACGGCCACATCTTTCTTTTTTCTTCTCAAAGCATCTTACTCTTCTCCCTCTTAAATCTGTCATAGTGATGCTGACTCCCACAGCAGCTACTACCAGACTCAGAACCGGGACCAGTCTGAGGCGATCTACTTCATTCCGTGAATCTATAATACGCTCAAGTCACGAGGTCAATACTGCATTTTAAAATAACTGTGAGTCATTCATGGCAAAACATCCCCGAAAGAATGTATGAGAAATTTCATGATTTGTATCAAGTAATTGATTTATGTATTTTTTAGATATAATGTAATCTTCTTGCTTTGATTTTTTCAAATACGACCTCTATTTTCTTGGTTCCAGAGCTTAGAATGAATTAACTCCCTGATGTCAGGAAACAACTTCTTAAAAAAAAATTGAACTTGGGTTTGTGAAAGCATTTTAAGCTCATAAAAGGTAGGTTCTGTTTTATCTACTTGATTAAATATAACATTCCTCATAGTTTAATGTTCGTGAGGCTGCATAATAAATATTTTGTGTTGATGGTGAGCCAGCCTCCCTGCTTCGTCATTAATGAATCATAAAATAGAATGTGCAGCTAATGAAGAGTTGAAAACATTTTTTTTTAACATTTAACATTTTAAACTTTAAACAATTTTTTTTTTTTTTAAGTATGCAAAAAGAAAAGAAAACAGGCTGGGCGCGGTGGCTCACGCCTGTAATCCTAGCACTAGGGGAGGCCGAGGCGGGAGGATCGCTCTCAAGGTCAGGAGTTTTTTTTTGTTTTGTTTTTAAATAATTTTATTCTTTTCATTTTTTTTTTTTTTTGGCCATCTCCTTTTGAAGATAAGGGTCAGGAGTTTGAGACCAGCCTGAGCAAGAGCGAGACCCCGTCTCGACTAAAAATAGAAAGAAATTAGTTGGCCAACTTAAACATAGATCGAAAAAAATGAGCCGGGCATGGTGGCGCATGCCTGTAGTCCCAGCTACTCCGGGAGCTGAGCGCGCGGAGGATCGCTTGAGGCCAGGAGTTTGTGAGGTTGCTGTGAGGGAGGC